AGCAGCAGCAGCAGCAGCAGCAGCAGCAGCAGCAGCAGCAGCAGCAGCAGCAGCAGCAGCAGCAGCAGCAGCAGCAGCAGCAGCAGCAGCAGCAGGCGCACCTAGATCATAGACTAGACTCAGCTGTAATGATGTAGGATCGTGGTACTTTTACTTGTGCTTGAGTATATAGTTTTATTTTTATTACATTTATTTTATTTACTTTTTCTTTTGTCAAATGTTGGAGTCCTTCCTCCAACACTGAAGGATAAGCAGTATAGATAATGGATAAATTGGGGAAGGATATTTGAACACTCTCACTCCATCAGACATCAAACCAAGACATCATTCTCATTATAAACTGTGATCCTTCTGTTGTAACAGTTAAAGGGTTTGTCAGCGATGTAATATCACTGTTCTCCTAAATTTAGAGACTTGATCTGATACTAGCTCCTAAATAAGGTAAATATTGTGGTTAAACCTTCCCTGGCCCCTGGTGCCCACATATTTCAAAAACCAAACTCCAGTCGATAGGCTTTCAGTTTAATGTTTTCCCAGGTTTATGCTGAGATAGCCCTGACCACATAATCTAAATTACTTCTTCCACACATAACCGCAGAGCATATATAACTTACTATACAAGTTGTTTTTGTGGAAGTGGTTGTATTCTTGAGCAAGCTGATCTTCATGAGTAAAAATGGTGACGTTCTCCTTCAATCAAACAAAGCTTAAATATTTGCATGTTGCCTTTAACATGGCCTGGATTAGGATATAATGAGTTATATTAGATATCTATGTGACTCCCACTCCACAGTACAATTCCAACATCCTGTAGAGAAAAGGTTTATTTTATCAGAGAAGTATTTTTATAATTATTTTCATAAACATAGAAGTGGTGACTCATCTCCGGCCTCATAATTATGTGAGGGCCCACTGCTTTGACTGAAGTGAATTACATCTAATCCATAACAATAACAGCCCAACTGCAGGTGGGCTCCCTTCAGTAATGGACAAGGCTTTTTCACATTCCTTGTTCAGGGACATTTTTTAATTGCCAATGTGAATGTGGAAATTTTTGTCTTTTTAAATATTGCACATGTGTCCAGTCCATTATTACTTTAGGTTGGAAACTAAGACTAATTTTAGCAACCAGGGAAAAATATGTTGGTGGCAGATTTGCAAAAATGTGAATCAGGCATCTACCATTTCAGTTCATTAAATTCAAGAATGTGTGACAACATGCTCAGCACTCAATGTAGAGGCCGCAAAGCAATAACAAATATGACAGCAGCTGTTGGTCAAACAAGTGAGATTGCAGTATCCCCAACCTGTAGAAATCTTTACCTTTTTTACTCATAATCTCAACGGTTTGAATCCTTGAAGAGGGTTATCTGGGTAATTATGATATTTTCAAGAGCACTTGATAGAAGCAACAATGTACCGTGTCAAAGGTTGGATAGTGTTGACCCTGCAGGTGGTGCATTAATGCTGTAAATCTGCCATGATTACACCGTTTGTTTGATGGTGGCAGAAATAATTACAACTTAGACATAAGACGAACCTTGGCAGCATTTTTACCTCAGAGCTCATCGCCAGACACAACATCATAAACCTTGTACAGGCATACTGTATCTCTAACTGTGTCTGCAACAAGGTCAGGCCACTTGATCAGCACATGGGGGAGGAGTGAATTGGTCTGGAGGGGCAGTCAGTTATCTGACAATAGGTGGAGATATACAGTGATGTCAGGGACTCTGGGCAGGAGGATAATATCCTGAAGGTGTTGGAAGATGTAGAGATTGTGTAAATTGCCCCAGTGGATAATTGTATCTGTGATAACAGAGTTGTTTTCTGTGTGAAATACAAATAACAGCTGCTGGGCTTTGTCCAAAACTAAAATTAGAGAGCTTGATAAGAGGAAAATTAATTTTCTGTTTTTCTCACAGTTTAATATTTTGACTATATGCTCACATCAGTTTATAAGAAGGAGAACATACTGAGGAAAATTACAGCTGTCTGTCCATTAAGAGACCATCTGAGCTGCTTTGTGTGTTTGTGTGTGTGTGTGTGTGTGTGTGTGTGTGTGTCTAACGCTATGCAAGAAGAAACATCCTTTACCTACAGAGTATGAAAAGCTAATTACACTAAGGCTTGTGGGGGTAAACCATGCATCTTAATTAAGTTTACTTTTCATCAGACAACATCCAAGATAGACTAAAATAAAGTAGTTTTCTTTTTTGTGCACCGTGGAACAGTGTGTGTGGCAACATGTTTATACACTGTGTGAGTCTGGGAGTTATACTGGGAGTGGAAGTGTAGAGGAATAGGTGTAATTGTGTGAGGAAAAAACAGTGTAGCGTCGAGTGCTCATTTACATTATCACTCCTCAGGTTAGCCAAGGAATCACATTAGTGTAGTTTGATAGTGTTGTGCTTTATCTGTTGGCCGTGGGTTATGGCTGCAGTCGCTGAATGGTTGATGGTGGCATTTTTTGGGGGGTAAGTTATTTTAAGACCTTTGCACAAAAATGTGGGTTTCTTCTAACAGGTTAACATAATATGTCAAGTGTATTGATTTTTTTTTAGCGAGTCAGTTTACCAAGGTACCAGAGATATTTCTTGTGTGGGCTGTGAAACAGATTGTTAAGGGCTTGTGGCACCAAATTGGCAGACCTCGCTCGTTGCTTGTCTCTGGGGCTTTCGGACCCTCTAGAAAGAAGTTGGCAGTAATGATGCATCACAAACATTTTGTTCAGTGTAACCCTGAAAAAAAACATAATTGAAGTCCTCAATTGTGCATTTCTTTTTCATTATTACCACGGTTCGAGCTGCAGACTCCTTTTTTTTCTTTGACTGAAACTGAAAACAAAAATAGAAAAACAAAACTTATCTGCTGCTCAGCTGGTTGGCAGATTCCCCTCACAGCTTGTGCCAGCAGAGAACAATATGAATTTTCCAAACAATTTGTTCTCAAGAAATACTGCACCTGAACTTAAAGCTGTGCATGCAGTTGTTACAATAAAAGCATTACTTGAATAGAGTCTGTTTTAAAGCCATTCACGTAATTTATTGCTGTATGGATGTTTGAACCAGGGAAAATTAAATACATTTTCTGTAAGGAAAAAAAACCACATTGAAAAAAAAGTAAATAGAAAATTTTATTTACTTTTTTTTCAATGTGGTTTTTTTTTCAATTTTCTCTTCTTTTTTGCTTCTCCACAGCTGTGAGTGTTTTTTCACATTCCCTTAAAGCCTCTGATAATAACTGTTTTCTCTCATTCCAGGTTTTATCCACACTTGCGGAGGCACTTTAAAAGGGAGGAATGGGACGATAGAAAGCCCCGGCTTTCCATATGGATATCCCAATGGAGCAAACTGTACCTGGGTGATCGTTGCCGATGAGGGCAACAGGATTCATATAGTTTTTCAATCTTTCGCTGTGGAGGAGGAATATGACTTTTTATCTTTGTATGATGGACATCCACACCCGGCTAACTTCAGGACGAGGTAAGAGAGCGAGCGGCCCTGAAGCCGTACATCTTGAAGGCTGCGTTTGAAGGCTGGCAGGCAGGGAGGGAAGGATGTGAGGAAGGAAAGCCTTCAGTGATCACTTTTGATGGAAAGTTCATCTTTAATGTACACAGGACAAAGACTGCTCATTCTTGTCAGGGAGTTGAAAAAATACACATATACACACACATATATGTTACTATAAACATTTTTAACAGCTTCTTTAATGAGCAAAATTATATAGAAGTGGGTCGAGATACCAAAAGCAAAGAAACCCATCAGTCCGAATCAGTGGCGTTTATTTCTGAATCAGCATGCTATGTTTGCTTCGGTGATGTGTGGTTCAGCTTGGTAATAACCAACCTCTATTCAAATGCTCCACTGTAGGACACGGGGGTAGAGGAAAACATCAAACACAAAGATTTCCCCTTGTTTGCTTTGGTCACTGAACAATCAAATAAATCCTCGCATCCTCACAAAGGCTGATATTGAAATGCTGCTCTACCATTTTCCCGTGTGCCTTTTTATTTCTACATCTCCCTCTCCTCATTGCCAGCGTCTAACATATCCATTAGACTCAACCTGGGTTTGGTTTTGACTCTAAAATCATTCTTTACAGATTAGCACAGTTCAATAATTGAATTTAATGAACAAGACAGAGAAGGTTGAGAAGACAGTCACATGATCTTCGCAGGGGAGGCTTGTACTGAAACAGTCAGACATTATTATAGATGGAAACAAGACTCTTCGCCACATAGGCATGCATTTATACTGAGATAGAAATACTGACAGCTCAGGTTTGATGAAAACATTTTCCCAGGGTACACCAATGTTGACTTTTGATTTGCAGATACTTTTTATTATCAAACATGGTATCACAAATATAAACTCAATCAAACCCTCAAACCCTCCTGGAGTAGTGAAGCGTGGAGGTTATAGCCTACAATTGAATATGTGAAAAAATGTTTGTTTGGCAATAAATAAAAGGATATGATATTAGTCAGGTTCAGAGGGAATATGAACAGCAGCTTTCTTTGGATGATCAATTTTCTTCTTTCCAAATGAAGCCTGCATCAAATAATTATCTTGTGTTTGGATTTCAAAAGCCACAAATGTCAAGTTTCACCTTTTCTTTGCCAAACCAAACAGCTCAAACAATAAATCCACTCTTCATAGATAAGTGTGCTGCTCACCGTGACAAGATTATCTCTCGTCTGTGCTGACTGAGGAGTGAGGAAACGCACATCATTTTTCCTTAAAATTAGATTTAATTTATTTTTAAAAGACATCTTAAAGTCTGACTAATCCACTTGTATTCACGAGCGTGCTTCGTGAGAGTGGGCTCCAACATTAGGTACTGACATATACGTGGCTGAAGTTCAGTGGAAGTAGACTGAGGTCACATGGGGGATGTATAGCAAAGAGTGGCAATGAAGGGGAATTATTCAAGAGCCGAATCATTGTTGATACTTTAGCGGCTGAATCACTTTAGATACTTAAAAGATTATGTTACATAATGCTTTTTTCAAGGTCGGGCTTATGAAAGGTTTGTCACCATGCTGGTTTGACTCCACATCACGTATTGATCCCACATCTCATGTCATAAATGTGTTTAAAAAAAGGCCTGGAAATAATGTACCTTTTCAAGTCTTTGAGCAATTACAGAGAAATGTCTGACATTGCTGTGAATTTTAAGCACACTGTGCCCTCTTGCATTTGGGTAAAGAATTGGCGGACTCTGATTCTGCTGCTGCACCAGTGAAATCTTCATTGCCTTGCTTGCATTGAACCAAACCAAAAATTTCCAGCCTCACCACAACAACATTGGCCTCAAACCATGTGTGTGTTATGAAAAAGAAATTTTAATACAAGTAATTTCACTTTAATGCCAGTGAAATGACACAACAAGGAATAATGGCAGACATCATATGCTTCTTCAGTTGCCTCATATGCTGAGATGAACATATTGGCTATTAAGAGTAACTAGTGTTGTCACTGTGCCAGAACCTGTACTTCACTGCCAATAGTCACGTTAAAATTCAATCAAGTCCCAGTGCAGTTTTGATAAAACAGCTCATTTTCACAGTTGGTGTAAATGCAGGGTGTAAACCTCAGAATTAATGGGTGATTATTGTTAACAACAGTTATTAATTATGGATATTGGAAAGACAACCCTTCCATAAAGAAAGATTCCACAAGGATAGTTCAACAAACATCTGTCTGTCTGTTTGTATGTCTTTATGTAGATATCCTGAGAACTGTTCATCCAATCGACTTCATATCTGGGATGTGTGGTGGAAATTTGTCTGTTTTCTGAATTTACAACATCATTAAGTCGTTGATTCATACAAACAGCAGATTTAGTTCTTCTCAAGTTAATGCAATAGCTACTATTCCATAGAGGAGGACTCATATAATGACAGGAAATAATTCTGAAGTGGCTCTGCACCGTATCAAAGAAGCTGTCATTCTTAAAATCATGACACAGAGCGTACATTGTTAAGAGCATTTCATCTGTCTGCCTGTGTGTCTGGCATGTGAAGGCCTTTCAAGTCCTCATGTTGAAATGAAGAATAGAAGCCATATTTCCTATGTTTGTGAAAGCAGCACCACTCTTCCTCTTGAGTTAATGGTGGTGTCCTCAGTGGGAGGAGTGAGGCTGGGTGAGGGAGCACATGGAGGACATGGGCCTTCACCTGAATCAGTTACTAGTCTGTCTGTCTTTACTTTTCTACGTCAGCTCATTAAAACGCTGTAACTTTAGCCAGGTCAAAGCTAGCTAGGTTTGGCTAGCAGCTAATCAATCCTACAAAGCTGAGCCCCAACATGGCGGACGGATCAACATCGTCCTGCATCTGCAAACTTCAGGTAATCTGTGAGTAAGCTGCACAGTTTCCCCACATTTAAACAGTCGTACAATACGATTTCATTTGACATTAATAGTGCCTTCAATTCATTTATGTCCTTGCCCTGGTATTTTGCATTCTGCAGGGGAAAATGTCATGTCTTACTTTTCTTTGACACCTAAATGGAACATAGTCATAATATTATTTATTTAAAAATAAGTTCTGTTGTTATTGAGACTATCAGGTGTGTTTTAATTATAATTACACTTGATTGGTTTAAGTGTTTTAAAGTTTGTGTAACACTCAACAGCTTGAGTGTGCTAACAAATAAGACAAGCACACAAACATTGCTAGATGCTGGAATGTGGGGCTGGATGATAAGACCAAAAATGATTAAAAAAAACGTTCTATCAGTGGATTTATCGAATTATCACAATCATTGTCACTTTATTTCTTTTAAGTTTTGAGCAGAGAATGACAAACACTTGATCAACAGCAAAACATTTGTCAGATCTGAGGTTGATCAAGAACATCATGAACACCTCACCATACTTACATAACCACATAAATAATGAATTGATTTATATATTGAATCTTTGTTGTATTGTCATTGAAGAGAATTATATTGCAATAATAATTGGTATTGGATTATTGCCTCGCCTTTTTAAGTGCAGATTTTTAAAATGAATGGTTTCTGTGTATCCGTGTGAACATGTTAAGCGGCGTGTTTGGGAAATGATGATGTCAAAGCTTATGATGTGCATTCCCACTCTTGTTTTTATAATGAGCATGCCCCAGAAACTTCTCTACCTTTCATTAGCACTGCTAACTGCTTGGTCTATTTGCAAGTCTACAGCTAAATGTAGCATTGAACCACAGCGTTCTTCTTTATTTGTAAGATGGTTGATGTAGACTTTATCGCCACCTACTGGTTCAGAATTCTTATTTGAATGTGTTTTGAGTTGTTTTTGTGTTCAAGTCGAGAGATTTTTAATTTTTTGAAATATCCGTTCAATAATTTCCTTTGTTGTGTAGACAAGGCCCAAAACGACCAAAACTGAAGATGACTGATGTCTAGATGCGGCTGTTGTGGAATTACAAAGGCCTTAATGATATCATGGGGACGCCTGGTATTTGACAGGTTGGTCGTACTGATACTGTTTAAGCTCCAGAGTGTTGTCACCGTTCTTCGTAAAGCTGCCTCGGTACACTGTTAATTAAATGGCCACTCAGTGTTCAGCTGAAAGTTCCAGGTCCATTCTGTGACAGCTGTTCTGAAATATGTACTGAAATATAAAGAGATGGATTTCAGTGTAAGCGAATAAAGGTAATTGCAGCTGCACTGGTTTCTCAGTTGTTCTGTCAGAAAAAGGCAGCTGTGCTGTCAGAGGTAGATTTAGTTTGTCTCTGATTGTCACCCTGGGTTTAGATGAGTTTAAATTAACAGCCAGGCATGTTGACGTACTCCCTCGTCTAATGTCATCATACAAGTGATTCTTCTTTTGTCTTGTTTCTTTTCTCATGGCCTTGAAAAAGACGGCATGTTCTGTTCCAGATTGGGTCCTGACTGTTAGAGGCACAAACTACAAAACATTAATTTGAGATTGTACAAAAGCTTGGATTGTGCACAGCCATTTTTAAAATACATTGTAAAGTTTTTTGAGCATACACAAAAGTATATTTTATAAAGTCTTAGTTCTAAGATTCTCATTTTGACATATGTCAGCATCATGTCTTTGCCAGTTGATTAACATTTCTTTTCAAACCTGTTGTAACTGAACCCAAAGATTCATTAACTATTACAACAACATGCTGTTCAGTTTCTTTCTGAATTTGATTTTCTTTGTGAATCTGTCTCCCTTTGGGTTTGCTTTAACTCCCTGGCGATTTTTGTTCTGAGTGTAATTATTTCATTTGAAGTAACTTAATTTGAGTTTAATTTTGTTGTGATATGATTGCAGCACCGCAGGGTGTTCCCTGGCTCCATCTGCAGATGGTGTATGGCACAGGTAGAGGGAGGTATGGGAAGTCTTTATAGTGAATTTCAAACTGGATTCAAACATGTTTTCACGTAGTCATTATTTCCACCACTGTGTTGAATTACAGAAAAGCTTGAATGTCTGTGTCATATCTTGGCCTGTTTTTGTGTAT